AGAGATTCCATCCTCACTGAGCATGCTTTATCCCTTCACAGCTCCTAGTGTTCACCACACTGCATCTATGCCATTTCCACAGACAACGGGCCATGCTCCATCCCCTCACCACTCGTAGCCATGACTGGACTGCATGTGCGCCTTCCCCACAGAGCCTCTGAGTGTGCTCCCTCCAGTCCAGGTTACTAGGCCAAAACTGGACTTTCGTGCTAATTCCTGTGCCTAGCTGCTTTCAGATGGGGCCAGGCACCAGAACTAAGAGCAGGGTGCCCCCGATGCTCTGTGACCCCGATGCTCTGTGACCCCTCTCCTCTGCTGGTACCTGGGCAACATGGCGGAGGAAGTCAGAGGGGTACAAGGGCTGGACCAGGTGGTGCGGAGAGGGAAAGGAGCAGATGGGACGGGAGGATGGTGGCGCTGGAGAGACAGACACTCCAAGGTGGTTGTGCAAGTAAGCTGGGCCTAGGAGCTGGAGGGAGGGAAAGGGGGGCTGTGCCCTTTGGAAAGAGATGCTCTTGCTGCTACTCCAGACCAGTGTTGACAGGAGCTCTGAGGGAGGGTTTAGGAACAATGAAGCCAGGGGTGCAGGGAGAGCCAACGAACCTGAGCCCCCTTTTATCCAAATGGCTCCACGCCTCACTGCCTGTTTTCCAGGGCTTGGGATTGTGGGTGCCCAGCTGGAAGGGGGGTGATTTCCAGAAAGCCCAGAGCAGCTCTGAAAACCCGGCCCTGGGGACGTGTCTGAAAGGGGGGCACCAAAGTCACTTGGAAAAACGGGGGTGCAGGATTTGATACGACGCGAGTGGGACAGGAGCTGTTACCTTTATTCCTGGGAGGGGTGATGGGGGCACCTCTTTGCCGAGGCCAGCAGCTCCCCCGGGACATGCTCCCTGCAAAGCGAGAGAACCTGGTTCTCTGAGCTGGGCAGGGAACCACCCTGGGGCTGGCGGGGGAACCAGCCTTTAAACCCGCGCGGGCCTGGCGAGCTCGGATTTGGGTGCCGGCGGGTCCGGGCTGGTGCTGCAGACCCCGGCGAGGGGGAGCCCGGGGCGGAGCGTGGCAGCAGCTGGGCTCGCCGGGCTCGCGGCCAGGCTGCAGAGCTCCCCCCACCCCCGGCTTGGCGAGCGCGCAGGCGCCGGGCTCCCCACTGCAGCAGCGGGCGCCGGCCGGCCTCAGTGCAGCCCCGAGCGAGCCGCAGCCTCCAGCGAGCCCCGGCCCGATCGAGCCCCGACCCGCAGCGCCGGCCGCAGCCTCCAGCCCGCAACGCCCGGCCCGCAGCGAG